GCGGAAGCTTTGCAGCAGTTAACGCTTGCGCATCACAGTGCTGTACACTGTTCATACCCTGTAAATGTTCACATTGGGTGAGGCTAAAACAAATATTTGAAGAGTAGTACATAGTCAGACATTAAATCCAGTCTTCAGAATTACCAATTCATGAAATATAGACAGCTTGTTTTTAACTAAATTTTTAGCTATTCTATAGCAACCAGGCCATTAGAAGTCCTGTTGCAGTTTGCCACAAACAATGAAGGAATACATCATCTGTACACTGTACATAATCCATCCCAACTCTAAGAGACGGTGGTGGCAGCTTTCTGCTTTTGCAGGTTGCAAAAGGCTTGAGTTGGGCAGAAGAAGCTTAAACTTGGGAAAGAATAATGAGTAAAAAAGTAACAAAAATATTCAGAAAACTGTGATCGAGAATTTAAGTATTAAAATAAACTCATCGACACGCTCTTATTGCAAATACGGATAGACATAAATATTACAATATATATAAAATATTTGATCAAGTTATTTAATAATTAAGAAAGGTTGGGACCGTTGACATGTATGTCATATGATCTGTTACCAACACATATATATGCATTCAGTTTTTGGTGTTTACCTTCAGGGAACTATTTTCAAGTTGCCATTTTGCCCTTTATGTTCATCTAAAGAGCTCAAATCCTTTAATTAATGTTGTGATATCCGATATCGGTCTTATGGATTTGTACCAAAGCTAAAAATATTTGTTGTGGTTCTGCATGAGAGGCTCGACAAGTCTCAACAATCCTGCTGAGGTCTCAGTCACAGCTATCAATATGTCCCATTATCTGCAGGTCTGAACTTCTCCCAGCATTGGCATAACTATCTGTCATGATAGTATGACTGCTAGCACGTGATGTTTGTTTCTTAAGATTTCCATCAGCAGCAGTAGAGCTACAGCTATTCTTACTGGGGTCCAACAGAATTATATTTACATAAAAGAAAAAGTGCATACATTTACCTTGAACAAAACAAAAACAGAGATGTTTATACTTTCCATTTGCTCGACAAAGTGCAATCATTATTTTCTACATTCTGTAATACACATCACGTTTCAAACATAGATTTACAAATAGACACACATACATGTGTATGAGATGCATCTGTACACATACAAACACATTAACCTATAATTATACAATGCCCCTGCACATTGTATAATTCTTGTGCATAGAGTGATAATAGTCCTGTAATCACACTTCAGTGTTGTATGCAGAGCTCTGTTTTGCATACATCATAATTTGCGAAACATATCTCCAGTAGCATCTGATGTAATCTATATAGTTCATGGCAAATGAACAATACTACAAATAGGTATTTACTATTTGTTTTGCAAGTACTGAAGTTATTTTTCTCTTCCAAAATAGTTTCTCCTTTTATTTGCTCAAGCTATGGCTGTTAGTGTATTTTGCACAGACTCAAAAACATGTTTTGCAACAGCATTTTTAATGAAAAATATGTCAAGGAAACCCGATGCTTTACTTCCTGCCAGATCTATGCCTCCCTAGTTCCTACCCTGCAGCATCTTTCGTTCAGCTCTTGAAAGGTAGTAATTAAAGTTTATTTTATTTTTCACTTGCATAACTCCAATGTTCCCCTATGTTGAGATGTCCTCCTTAAACTGTGACAGGATGAGAATCCCCTAAGGTTGAAAAGTGATTCTACATATAATAAATGGGAACAGGCTCCTGCAATAGTTATGCATGTTCTGAACTCGTCCATGCGGTTATATATTCCAGCCGGGACCTTGATGCATTGAATTTATTTGTCTGTGGGCACAGGGGGTGGTTTGTGTGTGGTTTAAGTGCAAGTTGTTTGTCGCAACGATTTTTTTTTTAATGGATCAATAAAATTTAAAAATCCTAAGCTTTGACACAAACTGAATAATGAGTCGTCTGTTTTATGTAAATGATTTATAATTGGAGTTTATTTTGAAAAAGTAATAGTGAAAAGCTGCATTTTGTTACACATTAAGCTATTATTTGGAGTCTTCTCTTAGCCATGGGGTACTTCAAGGCTCCATATCAGGACTTTTCTCATTATATATTCTTCGAAGGGCATTTTTGAAAAAGCATAAGATCACCTTCTGTTGTTGTACTGGTTTATTTAGACTTTATTTGCTTTTTCCAGCTAACAAAGATGCATCTACTCAGACTTTTTTGGATTGTTTTAGAATGCATGTTCAGATATCAATGCACATAAACACCATTACCTTAACAAAACAGATTTTTGCTTTAACAGTCCAACCATGTAAACAAACATAGATATACTATTAGCCCATGCAATTATTCTTGCAAGGAACCTTGGAGCAATATTTGGGTGACAAATTAGCTCAGTTGTCAAGCTAAGTTTTTTTCCACAATGCTTTAAGGTTAAGACCCACATTCCATTGTAAGACTTTAAGGCAGTAAGTCATGCCTTAATTACATCTTGTTCTGATTACTGTAGATATTTGTAACCTGGTCTTGACCTGTAGTCACTTTGGCGCCTGAAAGATGTTCAAAATTCTGCAGTAAGCCTTCTGACAAAACATAATGGTGATTATTAAAGGTAATGGCCCATGGCTGCTACATTTCAATTCAAATCTTCACACAGTATGAAAAATGTGTAGTATGTTTTTAGTATCTTTGATATGGCCAGTGCTGTTTCAAACTTTTTTCACATCCTGTCATGCTGCAACCAGAAATTACCTAATCAATTGTATGATATACCAAAGAAAAGTTATGCACAGCTGTGAAGAAGAAAGAAAATTATACAGCATATGTATTTTTTTATTTTTTATTTTTGCAACAACTAAAACAAAAAACAAAAAAAAAACAATGGTGTGAATTTCTATTCAGACACCCTGAGTTAGTACTTTGTACAACCCACTTGTGCTACAAGTGTTTCCAGCTACATCTCTATCAGCGCTACACATTCGGAGAAATACATTTTTCCCATCCTTCTTGGCAGAAAAGATAAAGCTCAGGCTGCACGGAGAAATCCTGTGAGCAGCAGTGTTCAAACGGACTCTCCTCTGGTTTTTGGGCCTGAACTGAGTGACCCTTTCTAACACATGACTATGTTTGTAATCCATTCCATTGCAGCTCAGCTTGTACGGCTTTTGCAGCCTGTAACATGTTTTCTTCCGGGATTGGCCTATTCCATCTTCTCAACGACTCAGACCAGTTTGTGCTGTGCATCCTGACGGATGAAGATGAAGTGTTTAGAGTGATGAGCAGCTTTTCTTATGGGTCAATCATTGCACCAATAAATCAGAATGTTATTGAACAGCTTGTTTGTTTTAGATTAATTACGCAAAGACATGTTTTAAAACCTTTATTTCTCTTAATGAGGATGATCTTCTGCTTCCAACTCGCAAAAACACAACACTGAAGTTTAGAATATTACATCAAATAAAAAAAAAAAATAAAAAAACAAAGAGTGAAAAGTTATGTTGAGAAACCACCTTAAAGGGTTTTCTTTTCAAATCGTACTGTTAATATGACCCACAAACCTGTACATAGGCCAAAAAATTCAATCTGGCTTGACCGCTCAGTCCAGGTGTTGTCAGTGCTCTGCAGTAAACAAAGTTCACACAGGGACTTTTCATGGCCTTCTTTCCAATAATCTCCCTTATCAGCCAGATTTGTGGAATCCACAAATAACTATCCTGTCAACATATTTCCCACCTGAGAAGTGGATCTCTGGAGCCAGAGTTACAACGGGAATCTTTGATTCTTCTCAGCTCTCCTTGCCCGGTGGACGGACGCCCTCGGTCTGGGAAGGTTTTCAATTGTGCCGTATGTGTTGTCATTTTAAAACGACAGATTGAACAGAGTTCTATGAGGCGTTCAGTGCTTGAGATGTTGTTTTATTACAACTTTATCCCTGACCTGTTTGTTTGCTCTGTTCACAAGACTAGCTGTTCACTCATATCCACTAACAAAGCCCTGAAGCCTTCAGCTAAAGAACTTTAGCTATAATGTCAATGAATTATGCACAACTGCATTTAATTAGGCAAGCTCTGAAGAAAATGAATTGCACTGGATATTTCTTTAGGGGCATCATATTAGAGTGGGTTCAAGACAAAGGCACCCCACAGTTTTAATTTGTGAAATATATTTAAAACAATTCACCATTTTCCCTTTACTTTACAATTGTTGCTCTGCTTTGTGTTGCATATTACATAAAATCCAAATAAAATAAACTGTTTGCTGTTGCAATGTATTAAAAATGTGACAAACAAATAAATAAATAAATAAATAAATAAATACTTTTGCAGGCCAGTGCACATATTTTTATATGGAGGCTGTTTTTAAATTTGCTACATTTGAAAACTTTTTTGGTTGACTTGATTTTCTTTCCTATTTATTTTTTTTTGACCGTATAAGGAAAACAAACCACCCACACAATACACCAGACTGCCCACACACAAACAGACACGTGCACGTCTCTGTGGGATAGCGCACCTTCGGCCTTTTGAAGCCTTCCGTGAATAAACCAAGTCCTTGAAGGCCAGACGCCTCCCACAGAACCGTTGTTGTAGCGGGGAGTCGCAGCACGGCCAGCTGCCGGCGTCCGGGATCACACAGAGCCTTTATGGGTCTGACGAGTGACTTAGAGAGAGAAAATATTTTCACAGATCCAGCAGCGGATGATTCCAAAATGCAATTCCAACACATTCCCAGTGAGGGGAGTATTCATCGGTGCATTCAATGAAGCTTGAAGTGCAGAAAAGATCAGGGGAGTGTGGGAGATTTATAATTAAATTGGAAAAAAAAAAAAAAAACTAAGGGTATTTATAAAAACTTTACACTTCAAGACACATTTAGATAATTTAATAACAAAAGGCAAAAAAATTTTCTGGTGAAACACATGTGGATAGTATTTTTATTTACGTATCAGACAAGTCAGGGATCAGTGCCCAGATTTGTCCAGTGAGTCACAACAATAACTCAGCCTTTTGAAGAGCTTGCTGCCCTTTAGCGGAGCCCTTTGTCTGTTTGTTCAGGGTGGATGTGAGCTGTAGTAAAGTTTAATCCTAATCCATCTGCATCTCATTGTGAGTGAGTGAGTGATTACAGTAGCCTGTTCGAGACACCTGGCTCTGATTTGCCCCGGGGCTTTGACTGATGCATGGATGTGTAGCTGAGAAGAGTTACAATATTACAGGCACCAAACCTGCAGAGGAAGGGAAAAATGAGATAACATATTTTAATCTTTGTTTTTTTCATAGCTGTATCATTGCAGCCCAGGAGTTTTTTTTTTTTTTTTTTTTAACAAAATGGACATATCTGCAAGCTGAGGAAGTCAGAGGAGGTAATGAAAGACGGGTGACTCCTATAGGTGAGTTTTTTTTTAAGTCATATTGGCTGTTTTAAGCCAAAAAAAAAGAGAAACAATATGTCCATTGAATGCACTGAAATAATAATTTTATCTTTGGTCCTTACATTGTTTAGAGGTTTCATTCAGCATCTGTTTAATGAGTTGGAAATGGTAGAGGAGTGTGCTACTTTGTGTGTAGATAATTTATTGCTGAATAGTTGAGGTTGCAAAACCCAAGGTCACATATCTCAGACTTGATCTTTCTGACAGGGAAAGCAGCAAAGGATCATGGGATGCGGCATGGGAAAATCCAGAATCCAGCCGAACAAATGTGACAGAGGTGCAAAGTTCTTTTCTTTAGCCTTTTAATTGAACACAACTTTAAACAAGTCCTCTCTTTTATTTCTGAACCTCAATAATTTAGTTTTTTTTTTTTTTTTGTGGTCATTTTCAGTGAGCATTTCTGTTCCAGGTAATGTTATTTACCTTCGTCAAAACCTTAATTAATAAAATCTGTACTCAGACTTCTCATTTTGTGTTTAATTGCTGTAATCTTATTCCAAATTTCATGCACTCGGAATAGCTGCTACGGGTAGGTCGTTTCCTTTCCAGAATGATATTTACTTTGAATTGGTACTCCTAACACACAGAGAGAAAACACTTGTTGGCTCTTGCAGGTGTTTTGTTACGTTTAAGAACTTTCTGCTGAAGCCTAACAGCTTAGATGTCCTAAACAACTAGCTGAAGAACGTCCCCTTGGCTGAATTTCAGTGAAACAATGCCACTTAGACACGTTCCTGATGTCCCCTTCTGCTGTTTCTCAGCAATTAGAGCAGCTTTGCTGATCCAGCGTTGGTATCGACAGTATGTTGCCAGGCTGGAAATGAGACGCAGGTGCACGTGGAACATCTTCCAGTCTATTGAATATGCAGGCGAGCAAGATCAAATAAAGGTGAGGTCAAATGTTTTGCACAGAAAACATTAGCCTCAGTACAAATATTTAAAAAGCACCTTGCAAGAAAACAAACCCCGTAAACTTTGGTCGCCGTACAACCACAAATTGAATGTGTGTTGTCAAAATGTCATGTCATAGGAAAACACAAAGTGGCGTATAAATGTGTAGCTATAATCTGAAAAGTGCGGCCCGTTCAATACATCCTCTCAAAATGGAAGGGGAACGTCTCCACCACAAGCCAATTAAAATATGGCTTCCCAGCAAAGCTAACGGGCTGGGGAAGGAGAGCATTAATTGGAGAAGTAGCCAAAATGCCCATAGTTACTCTTGAGCGGGTGCAGCGATCCTCAGACCTAGATTGGAGAATCTGTGATGGTAACTGTAATTTATACACTCTACAGATCTGAACTTCATTGCAAAGAAATAGCAAAATAGAATGGCAGTGCTGAAGGAAAGTCATAAAAAAGTTTAATTTTTGGAGTTTGCAATGAACCACATGGATGACACATGGAAGAAGGAGTTATGGCCAGATGAATAAAATAAATAAATAAATAAAAAGATTCAGACTTGATTAAAAAAAAAACAATTTGGGATGTCTGCTGTGAGTAAGAACTACAGCACTCTTTGGAGCCCCCTGCTGGTTTGGAGAACCCAAGCAGCAGTTTACTTCAGGATCTGCTGTGAAAGTGTAAGGAAACAAAACAATAATAAGTGCATTTAACTGTTTCTTTGTATGCATCATGTGTTCTGTAAACAAGTTCATGCTCTTTGTACGATTGGTTGCCTTAATGTTAGTGAACTGCACATTACAATGAGTGAGTTTAAGTTTAGAGCCATCTTCATGCAAATAAACGCTGAACTTCGGCATTTTCTTCATTAAAACATTTAAAACTGTGATTCCTCTCACAGCTGTACCATTTCTTTGGCTTCTTGATGGACCATTTCACCCCAGCCAGCAGCGAAAGTAAGACCATCATCTATAAACACTTTAGCCCTCCTGTGCTATATCTTTAATTGACCAACAATCTGCTCGTTGTTCCAAGATTTAGACTCACTTTCATATTGATCCGCTTCCTTTTGACTTCCTCTCTGTGTTTAATGAAGGAAACCTAATATCTCACATCTTTCGTGAGAATGAGGTCTGCCGTGACGCAGACTGGGAAAGATATTTCTGCTACAAAGACATAGAGGTACCGGACAGCTACTGCGGCCCCCACCTGGCTTTCCCCATGACGTTCTGTGGGGTGTCCAAGCTAATGGAAGCTTTCAAGCTGAAACAAGTAGGTGCATTGGTTCACGAAGATCTAAGATAATAGATGGGGAAAAAAAGCCCAAATGAGAAAAGATAAAAGTAGGTGTTTGCAAGGTTTTCTTGGATAATTCATACATGTTTTTCTCCCAGTAGCAGCTCCACGCTCGTTATGTTCTGCAGATCCTTGGAGAAACTTGGAGACTTCTAAGGATCCTTCCTAACATCAATCATGTGTCGGTCTGCCACACTAAGGAGATTACGATATGTGGTACACCGAAGCGGCTCTTTCTAGGATCTTCCACTAACGTTTTATTTTACTGCCTAAGTAACATTCTGTTTACTACAAATGTTTTTTTGTTTGTTGTTGTTCTCAGGGGATTTGCATGGGCAGCTTGAAGATCTGCTATTGATATTCTATAAGGTATCAAAACATATTGCAGACCCTCATATCTTCAGTCAGGATGTCCATCTTAATTTCTTTCTTTATTTTTTTTTTATCAGAATGGTTTACCCTCATGTGAGAAACCTTATGTCTTCAATGGAGACTTTGTGGATCGTGGCAAGAATTCTTTAGAGATTCTGCTCATCCTGTTTGGGTTCCTGCTTGTTTACCCCAATGAAGTGCATCTGAACAGAGGGAACCATGAAGATCACATTGTTAACTTGAGGTGAAATCTTCACTTTACCTTTACATTCCCACTACCTGCACGTTGCTTAAACTTATAACATTTTGTCACATTACAAGCATAAACATCAATATATTCTACGACGCTGCAGACACTGGTGGAGTAGGAGAAAAATAATTCAGAATTTTATTTTTTTAAATTTATTTATTTATTTTTTTTTTTTTTTACAAATAAAAGTCTGAAAAGTGCCCCCTTTACTCTGACACGCAAAAATAAAATCTAAAAACTGAGTTCACTTAATACAGATGTCCTGTGGAGGCGGTCAGAGGTTTTCTAGTGAAGAAACACTGAAGACAAATCAGGTACAAGTTGCGAAGAAATTTAAAGCCAGGTTGTGTTATAAAGCAATATTCTGATATTTGTATATTTTATAAAAAGAATTGTTCAAGCCCTGATCCAAAAATAGCCTTTTGTAGAGGAGTGGCAAGAGGACAGGCATGGTTGAGAAATGGCAAGTCCTGTTTTCAGGTTGACACACGTCACATAGGGGACAAAGGAAACAGGAGGAAGATGGTGCTCTGGTTAAGATTAATGTGGTACAAATTGAATATTTTTCAAAAACCCTGTTTACCTGAGCACACGTAAAACATGGTAGAGACAGCATCCTGTTGTGGGGATGCTGTTCTTCAGCAATGACTATAGGAAAGCTGCTGACATTGTCGTGGAGTTGCTGCTTGCAGCCCCACACTTTCATTTCTCACCTCCTTTAAAAATTTCAAATGAACACGTTGCATATATAATTTGCACTAGACTAACGTCGATAATCCTTGTGTGGTTTTATTTACGTGTTTTCTTCAGATATGGTTTCACCAAGGAGGTCTTGGGAAAATACAGAGTGAGTACGCAAATTGACACAGCCAATAGCAGCATGATGAAACCGTGGATTTTAGAGCAGATCTTCCCGTATAGTTGAATTGACTTTCAGGTGCACGGAAAGAAGATCCTAAAGCTGCTCCAAAAGATCTTCAGCTGGCTCCCTCTGGCCACAGTGATCAACCATAAGGTCCTGGTTGTACATGGAGGGATCTCTGACTCAACAGACCTCGACATGGTCGCCAGGATGGACAGACACAGAGTGAGAGAAGCTTCCAGTTCAAGTCAGATTAGAGTGTTTTGTACGACACAAACCCAGGAAAGCTGAAACTGTTGAACCTGTGACTGCGCAGTACGTGTCGGTCCTACGGCCTCCTAAAGCGATCCGTCCCACGCTCAACGGCAACAAAGCAGGGAGCGGCAAGGACGAAGACGCGTCCGGACCAGCAGAAGGCCGCCGCCGCCGGGTGCGCTCGCTGACCAACACCTCGGCCCCGGGTCAGAGGAACAACATCCCGCGTCGCTCCCTCCACAACCTGCCCACCGGCGGCGCCCAGCTGAACTGCTCGGTGGAGGACGAGCTGAAGGAGAGGCGCAGGCTGGCTGGGTTCGATCAGACCTACAGAGAAGTGAAGACGTTGGACTCTGACTCGGACCCGGAGTTTGGAGAACCCACAGAAACACACGGGCACGAGTGGAAACAAGTAAGACAGACATGTACAACAATTCTCTTATAACAAGGGAAGGGATAAGACGGATCTTAGTGCTTGAACGTTAAGAAAACAGTTTTTGTTTTTGCAACATAGCGTCCACCATAGTAGAGGGTAGTGTGTATTTAACCTCTCAATAATTGAAATGTTTTCTCTATCATTTAATTCTTTTGTTGTATTTTTTAAGTGCTCATTGTGTTTAATATATATTTTTTTCCATTTTGCCCTGATATTGTGATACTGGGAGCCTAACCAGCAGGGCACGTTATTATTTTCCGTGCGGTGGAGTGGCTGACTTCAAATTATTTTCAGACCTCTTTAATGTTTTACAATCTCCTGTCTAAAGGTCCCATGACTCCTGCAAGTCATTCTGACTTCAACACTCAGGCATGCACCAGACTAAATGCTGCTTCAAAATGCTGAGCGTTGATGTTTTCACTGTGTGCACTTCAGATCACATTTTATTCCTTGAATTGATTACATTACACAGAAATTTTTGTGCCATTTTAAAAAACGATTTTAAAAGACCCATATGTCCATTAATCAGCGTCCTATTTTTATTTTTTTTTTTATGTTATTTTTTTATGCGAATGTGTTTTTATTTAACAAGTGATGTATGCGCTCAGATAGTGAACCTCCTATGGAGCGATCCGATGCCTCAAAATGGCTGCATTTCCAACGAGGTGCGAGGCGGAGGCTGCTACTGGGGGCCAGATGTGACTGAGGAGGTGCTGGGAAAACACAACCTTCAGCTTCTCATCCGCTCCCACGAGTGCAAACAGGACGGCTACGAGTTCTGCCACAATCGCAGGGTGAGCACAGAAAGAAACACGGTAAAAATAATAAAAATAAAAAATAAAAAAAAAGCTAAAATTCAAGTTCTGCAGGGAAAAACAAGAGCTCAGAGTGTTTCTCCCCCCCTCCGTTGTTACGACAGGTGCTGACCATATTTTCAGCCTCTAATTATTACGAGGTGGGCAGCAACAGAGGAGCCTACATCAGAATGGGTCACGATCTGGTCCCTCATTTCATTCAGTACCAAGCCAGCAGGACATGCAGGGAGCTGACCCTGAGACAAAGGTCAACAGCTTTAGCAAATAATCCAACTAGAGAACACCAATCAGGCTCAAATTCATGAATATCAGGACTTATTAAGCAGCACAAAAGCACAAAATCAATTTATTTTAACAGTGAATGAGAGAAGTAGATCATATTTTATACTTTTGGTACAGTAAAAAAATATTTTGTGTTGAAATTTCAATTTTATGTTCAGCATTAAGGATTCTTTTTTTATTATTATTTAATGAATTAGAATTTTACTAAACAGATTTGTAGATTCAAGCAAATAGCCAAAGGAAATTCAATTAACTAAAACAAAGTTTGTTTTTTTTTCCAAGAAAATTATGTTTCTTAAGTCTTTTACTCCTATTTGTGAACTGAAAAAGTATTTTGATGGTTTTTCCACCAGCGTTGGCTGGACAGAGAGATCAGCCCTGCGAGCGCTAAGGCAGCAGCTGTTTGTACACAAGTCGGATCTCGTCGGTGCCTTCCAGGAGTTTGACCCAAACAACACCGGTACAGAAGCAGCAGAACCATCGATCTTAATACCCGTTAATGTGGCAGTGTCCCGAAAAGCATCTCTTATTTATTCCAGGGGTGATTTCTCTACGCCACTGGGCGACAGCTACGGAGAGAGTGCTGAAGCTGGGTTTGCCTTGGAGGGTGCTGCGCCCGCAGCTCATCAACAGGGCCCAGCACGGCATGGTGGACTACCAGCAGTGGATACGAGAGCTCTCCATCACTGAGCCCAAACCAGAGGTGTCTGCTTCAAAAACATCTTCCGCTCGCTGCTCGCTCTGTTCTCACGACTACTTGAAACATGAGAAAGTAATTTCAAACTCCTGGCAGGTGTCGGACACCAGCATCATGGAGACGATGTACAAAAACCACTCCAACCTGGAGACCATCTTCCGCATCATAGACACGGATCACTCAGGTGAGCTAGCTGCTAGTGGTTGAAATGCCCTCCTGTTAAACTTATGCAAATCAACGAGACACCAGCCCGATCAAAACAATGGTTAAAGGGTACAGTTCTTCCCGTTCTTATAGGTTTGATCTCTTTCGAGGAGTTTCGTCAGACTTGGAAGCTCCTGAGCTCTCATCTTAAAATGGAAATCAGTGATAAGGCCATCACTGACCTGGCCCAGAGCATGGACTTCAACAAGGACGGCAGCATCGACATCAATGAGTTCATGGAGGCCTTTCGCCTGGTCGACCTCTCCACACACGCCTGATGGAGAGAAGTTGGGAGTAATAGGTTAGATGATTCTTTTTTTTTGTTTGAAAACCACCAAACCAAACAGTCTGAAGATCAGGCCAAACGCCTTGTTAGTTGTTTTTAAATGTGCTGGGTAAATAAAATGGACGTTTTACAGTGTTGGCTTAGTTAAATCATCTGGACCCATATTTTCTAATGGGTAGGTTATCTGGGTGCGTTATTTCTCCATCTGTACCGTAGGTGTTTCCTACATAGTGGAGTTCTACCGTGATTTTCTACAATTTTGTACTTAAACATTGCCTATTTAGTTGGTGAAAGAAAATAGACATTCTCTGATCAACCATTGTATATATGGGTGCCAATTTGATGCCTAATATGACTTAAAACTTATAACTAAGCCTGCAGTTGTTCAAAATCATTTACGTTTTTCCAAGTTGTTCATTCGACAACACACAGAGACCCACTTATCTCAGTCACTCCTCAAAATGGGAAAGACAAAACAACACCAGTAAGTCAGGAAACGTTGACAATAGCTGCTCACCTAAAATGATCTGCATACAGTTCAGAAAAACAAAGAGGAAAAGCACCTCTGACCCATTAAACACAGTGGAGGATCTGTGATGCTGTGGGCCCGTTTCTTCTCCACAAGCCTTGGAAGACCGTTTCAGGATAACCTGCTAAATATTCATATAAAACATCCAGAACTCTTACCCTTGAAGAGCACAACTGACTTTCTATTGGAATATCAAACATCCCATTTGTAAGGTTTGCTATTGAACATATCAATAAAAAAAAAAAAAGATTCACCTTCCTCATGTCTAATTTTCATTGACTAGACCTTTTTGTTTTGAAATGTTTTCTAAGAGTTATTTTGTCTGTAGAGGTAGTTGCCATTAATCTGTTTCTGTAATTTTTTTTTTTTTCTATTTATAAACCACTGAAGGCATTCTACGGTTACGTGTTGCTTCTACTGCACATCTGACAACATGTTTACATCTTCGTGTGCGCTGGATAAATTACAGACCCTTAGCATGTGGGTGACCCTGTTGCATGAGGGGATGTAATCGGTTTGGAGGAGCCTAATAAGTTCAACTGCCAATCAGCCTTTTCATTCCAGTAGCGGATGCAAATCCAGGACATAAACCTATCAAGTGAAGCCCTGCTTTGATGAGATGTAGGAAAGCACTAATCTAAAGAGGTAAACAAGAAATGAACCCACATTATTACAATAACGACGCAAATCAATAAATGCAAACAATACAAGAAACGAAAGCAGCCTGGAAATGTCTCCACCACAAACAATAAAAAAAGCAAATAGCTTATTAAAGGAGATGTAATTGTTTAAATCCAAAGATTTATTAATATTCTACTAGCATAAAAAAAGAAATACAAATATGTATTTACATAGTTTTGAATCATGCTGTGTACTCCCACAGCTTACTTGCTAGATGCGTTCACAGCCCCACATCCATAATCTGATTTAACATGAGGGAAGCCTGCTTTTATTAGACACTGTTGAGTCTTCTTTAAGCTGTTTAAATCGGCCCAGACAGCAGAGAATGACCACTCATCCAAACACTCAATTATCACACCTGCAAAAAAACATGAGATTTTAATATCCTTCTGTGGTGAAGGTTGATCTGGGTTGAGAAGTGTCCCTTTTCAGCCTGACAGAGGGTCTGAACACAAGTTGAGGGTGGACGGGTGTCCTCAGCTCAGGATGCCCCCTCTCATGTGGCCGCCGTCGCTTAGTCCATGTTCTATGAGTTTGATGTCCTCCAAGTCGTCTTTGATGACGCTGATCAGGTGACTTAAACCTTCTTGTTGCTGCTTTAAGTGCTGGAAGTGTGAGGTAAGATGAGAGTGTTTCAGTTAGGAAAAAAACAAAACAAAAAACAAACATCTCATATTATGCAGTCGGTGTAAAACAGTCAAAAATACATTTCTGAGTAACCAATCTGATAAATAAAAGCCTTAGATTTATAAACGGGCAAAAAGATATCCTACTTGTTTGATTTCTCGGAGGAGGTCTGCGTCGACGTTGTAGCGCTCTTCGGATCTCACGGCTCCAAAGTGGTTCTGCATTCGAATTTGAGACATCAGCTCATTCAACCGACCCTGGATAGGATTAAAAACAAACACAAATTACACATGGAGTAAAACGTGTGTATAAATTACATCAGGAGTTTGATCCCTGAGTAAGAAAGACTAACACACTGCTTTCGATTCACGGTTGTAAGGCTGGAACTAACAATATTATTCTATCGATTATTCAGATAAAGAAATGAGCTGTTTCAGATGTTCACTTAAGATTTTATAGAATATTAGAAATACATTAAAGAGATACAAATAAGTAATTGTAAAACCTACAAATTTGACAATATTATAAGTCTACTTAAAATGAAACACCTGAAAAAATAAGGAAAAAATAAAATGCTTCTTATTGGACAGGACACACTTGCCTTGAACTGTGTGGGTGCATTGAGTTCTGACTGAATGGTGTCCAGCTGCACCCTCAGATGCTCCTCATCCACTTGGATGGCGTAGCCGCTTTTTCTCTGAATCTCCTGCTTTATCAGTACCTTCCAGGAAAAATATGCCAGAATTATTGAAGATGAATTTATAGAGCCGGGAGAGAAGCGGACGGCGCCAGGACATTCCAACTTGATGTAATTTACACATGCTGATCGATGCGGTTTTTGCTACTTGTGGGAGAAAGAAGGGATCTGAAATCTCCCTGACAGAATATGGGGTCAGTAAAGTGGGGGGAGAGGGGCTGCTTAAAAGTTGCGTCTGTGTCATTGGCAGTTTTATGTTTTTGTTAATGAGACAAATGAAACGCATTCATCTTTTAGTTAAACTGAATGCAGAAGCTACCTGCAGCACTCTGTGAGACAGATCCATCAGCTTCCTCTTGTATTGAGCGATCTTGGCTACAGTTGTCGCCTGGTTCTTCTGCAGCTCACTGATGTCGTTGGAGATGATCTGAAAGTAAGTGCACAAAAGGCAGCAAACAAAGATGTCTCATTAGATGTTTTTTTTTTTTTTTTTTACCTTTAGACTTTACCACCTCCCTGCCTCCATCCCCCATTTTGGCCTTCTCTCCTTTCGGCTTGTTGCATTAACGAGAAATAGAAAAACTCTTGGAAAGATGTTTGTTATGGAAAACTCCCTAAATTTGGCTATAAAAGTTCTCATGTTCTAATCCTGTCTATGCAGGTGCTTTCTGAATGTTTTTCCACTTCAAATTAGGTTTCTAAAGTAAAAATCCAAATCTTCTGTAACTAAACCCAACTTTGTAGTTCTTTCCCTAAAGTCGCATCCAAATTAAACCACACTGGAGTTACAAACACAAGGACCCAAGGTTATCCAAGGCTTTCAATTGAAGTCTTCAATAAGGAAACATTTTCTGAAACACTCTTCCTCCCGCTGACTGCTCTGGTATTTCTAATATTTCATGATGAAAACCAGCAGCTGGCAGTGAGGATTGACTGGACATCTGCGGACCGGCCTTGACACCAGAAGTCTGCCTCAGAATTCCTTTTCTGATAACCAGGTGGCTTTTTGTCCATTTTCTTGCCTTTTCTTCTAAACATTTGCTAAATGTAGAAACGAAAAGCAAGAGATATTTTTACTTACATCCACTCTGGTCTGGTGTTGCTTGGTCATCTGCTCCTGGATCTGCAATCTGCGGAGCAGCTCCTTGAAACCCACCATGGGTACGGGGATTAACCTGAACATTTATGGAAGGCAGTTCACGGACGAAACCTAGGACCATTTATGAGCTCTTTGGATAGAAGCAAGAAAAAAAAAAAAAAAACTAAATAATAAAAACACATTCCAACTTACTTCTCTGGGTCAGGGTTGTCCACCTTAGCTTGTTCCCAAATGATGGGATCCACACCTGGTGACGGCAAAGAGGAGGTAACGCCGTTAGCTGATTTTAGCAACAAAACGACCAAACATATGTGCACACATTTACCTGCAGGAGCGTTTTGCAGCAGCTGCTTCAGGTGTGCTGGGGACAGCTCTGTGCGTGTTACTGACATGACCACTCCAATCTGGGTGAGCTGAGCCTTGATGCCGGACTGCTCCAGGTAGGCGAAGAGTGTGGAAGCTGGGATCCTCTTGGAGGTGCCGTTGGGGGAACGCTCCACCAAATAAATGATCACTTCTGTCCTGCAGAACAGATGAAGCAGGAGGTAATTGTTCAGGGTGGCTTCATAGTCTTCAGGATTTAGGAAACCAGGTAAAGTTAGAGAAACTTACTGATCGTTGGGCAGAGCTTTAACACCCTCTACGTTGACGGTCAGAATCTGGTTGCTTCCCAGAACCTTGTGCAGCGACTCGACCAGCTGCTGCTGCTGAGCACGGACGTCAGGTTCCTTTTTATTCAGAACCAACACCACTAAACCATCTTCGTCCTTGCTTACTGGGACACAGCTATACCCCACTGCCTGCAAAAAGACCAAAGATTAATACAGGATCCTAGGGCAGCTAGGCAAACATTTTTTAATACAGTATTAGACAAAAATGGTCAATGAAACACACGAAAACATGAACATATTCTGCCTCTGGATATTTCCTTTTACTCATCTGAACCTGTAAAACACATTTTTGATTTTTCCAAACTGCGTATGATTAGTAAGGAGTGGAAAATGAGTGAACCAATTATCCCTAGTTTACCTTGAACCTGCAGAAAGGGTTCTCCTGAGTAAAGTCCACTGGCAGGTTGTTGTTAACATAGTAGCCCTTCCCTGTTCCCCAGTAGGCCTGCAACTGGTTCCACTTGGCAAGTATGGAGTCCCGTTCGTCTCCCAGCAGAGTTGGGGCTGACAGAGCGGTCACTTGCTGGTAAAGCTGGGTTGGCTGAGCTTGACCCTGCTGATGGGCCGGCTGGCCAAACAAGCCTCCTGTAGCAGGAATAGTAAAAGAAACGGGGAGTCAAACACACAGTCATGCTGAGATTTATGTGCAATCTAGTTAATAACATGTAAAAATAAATAAATAAAAATTCTAATACAGTCATTTTATTTCTTACAAAAAACCAAACATTTTGAAAAAAGCAACGGTTAAGGTGCAGCTATAAATATCTGCATTTGCACAGATATTCTCAAAAACCTATTTATCTTTTTTATTGACCTTGTTGCTGTTGTGTCGGCTGGATGTTAAAACTTCCAAAACCGAGGCCAGCTGTTCCTAATCCAGTTCCAAAGCCCGTCGCTCCAGTAGTGGCACCAGTTCCGAGTCCAGATGGGAATCCAAACCCTTTGTTCTGCGTGTTACCAAACAAGCCCCCTGAAAAACAATATTAAGAAAATGATCACCTACAAGAAAACCATCTTTAAGGTCGGGAGTGTTTAGAAAATATGTTGGCTTTGCAGGAGGATCGCTAGATCAGTCAGGCTTTGGTCCCATGCTCTGGGAGACAAAGGGTGACATCTAGTGGCAGGTTAGTGTAATTCATCGGATTGAGAGTCTAGGAATGATTGGTGATGGACAACATAGTCTTCTCTGATATAATTTCACAAGGCTGGTTCAGAGAGAGCGATACACAATTACAGGAGCATTGGCTCCTCTAATTTTAAGACGAGTGCAACGTTTTTGTATAGAGACAGCTAAATATTTTACATCATTACCCTGACCAAATTTTAAACGCTATATGGTTTATATTTAACATTTCCCTGTATTCTTTAAGAGGTCATGATGCCTTCCAGTTTAACCAGGGCCTTCAGAAGAGAAACAGGCCCACAGCATCACACCACCCAATCATGTCTGAATGAAGTCTGCGTGTAGCCTGAACAGT